TGTGTGTGTGTGTGTGTGTGTGTGTGTGTGGTGTGTGTGTGTGTGTGTGTGATGTGTTTATCATTATTATGGTTATATTTCAAACCAAAAAGTTCAGACGATTCAGATTCAGACGAATTCAGACGATTGATAAGGAACCTCCTCCTTTTTAAGAAATTTGGTTGAAATAGAAGGTTTAATGTTAAGAGTTTTATACTTAGAGGATAATAGCCATCCTATTATCCTAGTTTGATCACTATATCACCTGGCGGTAAGCGAGGATGTGGTCGACGTTGGAGCTTTCCTACCTACATATATTTAAGCAACCTGTTCACTCGAGACTTAAAACCACCTAGGTAAGCTATATTTTTCAGGAAATACAGTAGAATATAGAGTTTAACTTAATATAATTTAAAAGAGTAGAATTTACAGTTAAAGGCGTTAACGCATTCGCAATGAAATACCAACTACATATATAGGAAAATACGAACTATGAAAAATATGATTAGTAATGGGAATTGTAGCGAATAGGTAATAACAATTTGAGGAAGATTTAGTTCAGAATACAGTGTTCATATAAATAAATTAATTAAATGTCAGACCACATCGGGAACAGTCATTGTTCAATAAGCTTGAGTGCCGTAACCATGTGGGGAACTGCGATAACTATTGTTTTGTTTTCATTTGCTCCTTTTGGTAAGTTTCATTATTTTGTTTTTATACTAACTATCGTGAGACATACTAAATTAACTAAAAATCGCAGGTTACTCACGTGAATATACTGAGAAAAGCTCTACTAGTTCCGAGCCACAGTATATTAAACTGTCAAACACCAAGCGGTCACCGGTAACCGCAACCTATTGTTCTATAATTGTGTCTACAAAACCGGTACTCGACGAGTTAACTTGAGTAACCCGCGATATATAATTCATTTCATTATTTTAATGAATGATCTATTTTGTTTCCATTTGAGTTTGTAATTTTGTTTTACAAGATTTTCTTTGACTTGCAATGTATTTATGTTTGTGAAGTAAATTGCAACTTAACCGATCGAGCTAAAATTTTGTAGACGCTTAACTAAATGATACCACTTTCAATTCAGTTAAAGCTTGTCGTGACATTTAGATAGCTACCAAAATATTGGTATTTCATAGTATCAGTTGGTTTTAGAGTGACCTATTTACTACAAAAAATGTAATGCTTCAACTATAGCACGTCTAGTTTCCTCGATCTGCTTAGTTAATCGTTTGTATAAAACCAGTACATGTCGTAAATGTGTTATATTGATTTGACACTATTTATTGAGGAGTAGTTTAATGAGACGTAGTGGCAGGGTAAAATATTTACATCATTTTTTAACCTTAAGTGTGAGAGGAACGTTACCTTTAAGTTTACTGGAGGCCCAATTACCGATTAACCTAATTATAGAAAGATATTCAAGCATAGTTAGAAAGGATGGCACGTATCTGTTGAACGTATTTGCATCCCTTTCTAATTAAATACCGGCTAAGTTTGCGTCTGGACGTTCAGAATCTGAACAATTATGACATAGACGTATATTTTTCCTTTAACCATGCGGGTAACGTCTCGGACGGTAAGTCAGTCCAGTAACCGGGCCTATAGATTGTCTACTAGATTCGTTGTTCCTAATTTTACTCTCAAAGTAAAACCCCGAGTTCACTATGATATTGATGACGTCACGATACAATGCATTTAATAATTAATTGTTTCTATTATTTTCCTTATAAAAGTAGATAGGTACCTAAACTGCCATGTATGTATAATTATCCAAGTATTTTAATTACAATGCTTAATATATGAATAGTGACTTCCGGCAGGTTTTTGCTTTACCAACATAGTTCCCGATCTCGCGGGATTTTTGAGAAGATGATGAAGATTTGAAGAGATGTCCTTTCTCGGGTTCAAAACTATGTCTGTACCAAATTTCATCCAAATCGGTTCAGTAGTTTAGGCGTGAAGAGAAGACAGACAGACAGACAGACAGACAGAGTTACTTTCACATTTATAATATTATAGTTTGGATTATCATAATTAAACTGTCAAACACCGAGCGGTCACCAGTGACCGCAACCTATTGTTCTATAATTGTGTCTATAATAACGGAACACGACGAGTTAAGAAGGCACTTCCAACAGTTAATTTTCTTCCACATTTTAATAATCACGACATAGAATAAAACAATATCGCTTTCAGCTGTTTGTCCCTATTTATGCTTACATTTATATAACTATGCAACAGAGTATGATGCGGTTTTTATAGATAGAACTCAGAGTAATTCAAGACAATGCTTCATATTCACATTGTTTTATTAAACTCCTTATTTCGAATTTAAAGTGTGCAAAGATATGGGAAAAGTTAACTAGCGACATATATTTATGTCGTATCGTGAATGAAATCGAAAAAATATAGGTCTTTGCCACGTTATATAAAAAAAAAATGATTTTAAAATTGATTGTCCGTAAAGTATTAGTTTTCAATGTGGGTAAAGGTCTATTTGGAAATGTATTTAATTATACTTCTTTTGCTTTTCAGTTCTGACGAAAGATGCCAAACCAGCAAAGAACTACACAATATGTTTAAATTCAACTGAAGTGCTTGTAAGTATAGACATTAGGCATTAGGTACTCACAACATAATTATTTCTTAGTAAAGAACCACAAAGGATTTATCTTAATTATATATATTAAGTATATAAGATTGCTTACCATGAGGTGATCCTTGTGCCCGTTTACCCGCTTATTCGATAAAAAAAATACATATATATTATTTTCTACTTAACAATAACTTAATTATATTACTTACATGGTTGTGGTGGTGGTGCACCGGAGGCTTTTTTTTTAAGGGGGGAAAATCATCGAATGACTGCTCCCGTATGGGTGAGGCGGAGGGCGCGTCAGACTCTTACTGACTAAAAACCACCCCGTTCCTTCTCCTGCACGTCGAGCCGGAGCCCCGGTTAGCTCAGAGTTTGTCAGCGCTGCGGCTCAGCATGGCTCATTTTACAGCCTATTAGTTTGAACTTCAAGTCACAATGCAACTCGAATTCATGAGCAGTATGCTGACTAATTTTCAAGATGGTTATACTTGTATATATCAGTAGATATATTTAACAAAGATACTTATCAGTATTTCTATCACAATATTTCTAAAAACCGGATCTGAAAATGTAACCCATGAGCTACTTGCAGATCAAGCCCTAAATTATGTTAGTTTAGCTTAGCTCACCTAGCTGACACATCCTTGTTGTTGTGTTAACTTAAGCTATGTAAGCTATAGTTGGGCCATTACAAACGTTACAAAAATTACTTGTAACAGTTCGTCACGAGTTATTTTTATCAGATCTCTCGCTCACACTTATGCGCGTTGTGCGGCATTGTCACAGTTAGCTTGTTTGTAATGCCCCTACTACAATATGCTAAGCGAGCTAAGTATGCTGTATGTATGTACATAATATGCTGATGTGCAATTGTGCATTACGAATGTATGTCAGAGGCAGCTGCAGGCGGAAAATGAATTACCACAGTCTGTCGTATTTATAAATATTACTGTCACTGGTTTCCACTAAAAATAGTATTACAATAATTTTTAAATATGGTACTATTTTCCTTTTACATTATAATTATTATGTATAATTAATTAAATTTCTTATATTTCAGAAAAAGAGTAATGCAACAAACACTTGTTTCAAAAATATCGTCAACAAACATTTGGACAGTTCGTACGCTGGGTGAGAATTATTTTGAAATGAATAAGAGCTACTAAAATATCACCGATACAGCATAAATACGTACTATATCATTTCCACTTTTTGCCTGTTTTCATTTCGTTTTAGAAACTTAATTAAGTAATTCAAAATACGTAACGGTACCTCATTCGATTTACCTCGGTTCACTTAGGTACGCAACTGACTGAGAATTAAGAGTCCCGATGTGATTTTAAACCAGCGGAGCTTTTCGCAGTCATGTTCACGAGTAAACCGTTATTGAAATTATTTAGTATGTCTCATGCGACGATAGTTATCTTATACTTTTCATAGTCTTATACTATTATATAAAGCTGAAGAGAGGTTTGTTTAAATGCCCTAATCTCTGAACTACTGGTTCAATTTGATAGTCGATTTATCGAAGAAGGCTATAGCCTATAAAACATCACGCTAAGCTCAATAGAAACCGAGCTGAACGGGTGAAACAGCATGGTAGGAGCTAGTTTTATGATATTGGAGAGACTTCGTTAGTTATTATGTTTTCGGCTTACTCACGTAACTGTTTGAAGAGGAACTCGACTAGTTTCAAGCCATGCCAGAGGCTCATATTCATGAGCAGCATTCCGCGACCCCCAAAGCGGCGACTGTCGCGCTGCTACTGGCTGCTTTAGTTCATCTGTGGCGGCGCGCGCGACACCGCTGGCATGCTAGACTCCTTCGCTGGTGGCCGCGTAGATGTTAAATTGGAATCCCGGGTAGACGCAAAGACCAGTGTTAAAACAAACAATCCGAAAACATAATAATTAACTAGGATGTCTCACGAAATATTTAATATAAACTTGGTTAGTTTTTTACTTGGTAAATTTATTTCTCACAATTAATAAATTACTTTCAGAGATTGTACCATTCCCAAATTGGAGGAGGATATTAATGCACATCGGAATGCATTGAATGCTACATGTGGGCTTAATTTTCTTAGACTAAATGTAACGAATTTGATGAAGTATATTGAGTTCAGTTTGAGCAACCAAACTTTTAAAGGTAAGCGACTTAGTTAAGCACTATTTTATTCTAAAATAGTAAAATAAAATAGAGACTGCCTCGTTGGCCGAGTGGTCGCTAGTGCGACTGCTGGGCAAGGGGTCTCGGGTTCGGTTCCCGGGTCGGCCAAAGTAATACTGAGTTTAAAAAATTCTCAGTAGTAGGACGTAGTCTGGAATTGTGCCCGGTATATGGCAATAGGCTCACCCCCTATTACATGGGACTCATAACATAAATAGTGAAAAGTGGGTATTACATTATACAGTGGCATAATGTGCACCTCTGCCTACCCCTTCGGGGATAAAAGGCGTGATGTTATGTTATGTTGTTCTTAAAGTAAAACAGTTTGGCATCATGGCTGGCTTAATGGTTGCGAAAAGAATATCATTATGTAACCAACAGAGAGTTAACCTCTTCATGAAACGCGACCGCAAGTGATTTTATGAAGTAAGTAAATCTATGATGTGGCCACGACAACTACTTATCTGTGATGTATAGGTACCTAGATTATGTGAATTTGTAAGTACATACGTAGGGGAGGTATCCCCACGTGCGCTGCTACCACTCCAATACCTAGATGGACCGATAACATCGCCAGAATCGCGGGGAGCAATTGAAGCAAGTGGCGAGTGGAGGAATAGGGAGGAGGCCTTTGTTCAGCAGGGTACGTCTTCCGCCTGTTGATGATGATGTTGTATGTACAAACATGCTCCCTGGCAGTCTCTGGACATAAGAAATTCCTAAATATCGACATTAATTGATACCTAGTTACTTAACATTTGTTTATATTTTTTCAGAATTTTACGGTGACGTCAACTGTGTAAAAACATTAGAAAAAAATATAACTGCTTGTGTAAAAGATAATGTTGGATATACCACTATATCTAAGGAGAGAAAACACTCCGGTTGGTACAAAAAAATGGACTTGGCATATGCTGTAAGTTTCTTGTTTATTTTTTATCTAAAGTGTAAAAAATAACTTATACCTAAAGTGACGTGGCGCTGAAGGTAAGTTAAAAGTTCAAAGTCTTGGCGGTTAAAGGGTTAAACCATCCCTATACTCCCTCGGACATTAATTAGCCAAATCGATTCAACCGTTCTACTAACGAACAGAAATTCATTTTTATTTATAGAGGTACATACAGAGATGCACAAAATTAATTACACATGAAAGTACATGTTGCAAGCTCCTTTGCGTCAGTTCTGTTCTGAGTCCCACGTAAGCCTATTGCCATTTAAAACTCCGTGCTATATTGTTTTATAAAAAAAAGCGATCAAATTCCAATAGTAATACTTTACTCGACTCGGAAGTTGAACACGATGAGACCCCTTGCTCGGCAATCGCACTTGCAACCACTTGACGTGAAACCCCGATGGTAAGCAATTTGCACCGGAAGGATAGACACCCGCAATACAAGAGAATTCACAGGTGCATTGTCGGCCTTATATAATAGAGGATGGAAATGAAGGTAAGGCCCCCGGTAACACAACTAAATACAATGCTACCATTGTTTCTAAAGATAACAATAAAATGTTCTTATTTTTTTTTCCAATAACATCTATAGGTATACTGATATCTACCATAATCACAATGTACCTAATTATTGCTATACAAAGCCAATTACAGGTTTCACTTACGTATAGCATACCTATCTTTATACTTATAGGTTGTCCGAATGCATTGTGACTTTAAGTATAGTTTTGTGTCGCGGAGAACCTAACTGGTAACCGGGGCTCCGGCTCGACGTGCAGGAGAAGGAACGGGGTGGTTTTTAGTCAGTAAGAGTCTGACACTCCCTCACGCGGGAGAAGTCATTCAATGATTTTCCCCTTTAAAACAATAAATAAGTATAGTTTTGTAACTGTTACATTTTTTGTTACAGCAAAGGAATTGTGAAAATAGTAATCGGGTAAAAGAATGCGTATTGAATGTTCTGAGCACATGTAAGCCGAGCACAAGCAAGTATATCTCTTCATTATTTGACTACGCACACAGCAAATGTTCCAACCTCACAAATTTAGAGTCTCATGACGTAAGTAAACTAGTAATAATATTAATCCTAGTTTATAAGCGCATTTACCACCCTCCTCAGTCTCCCCAATAAATCCCCGAATCCCCAACCATCCAAGAGACCGGGAACCGGTGTCCATGGACGGCGCCAATTGCTTACCGTTACCATCAGGTACTGTCTGCTCATATACCAGCTTATCCCATAAAAAAAGCTTAACTTTGGGCATAAATAGTGTCTGGTGGTGATCTATTGAAGGCCACAATAAATATCCGATATCGATCAAAAATCTGTGGATCAATAGTCCATTAACATTGTACCATAGAACACAAACAACATTGAGCCCCAATGTATTGAGTAAAAACGACTTATTTTTTTATGATTTCCGTATTTACCATTATTTTTTTCTTCTTTGGCAACCGAGGTTCACCGTTAATATTAGACTACCTACACAGCTTGGCAAAAAAGGATTGACAGCTGGCAATAATATTGACTTGAACTGAACCGCGTATATCCCACGAATATAGTGCCTGCTCTGCTGAAATCTGCCTCGTTGGCCGAGTGGTCGCAAGTGCGACTGCCGGGCAAGGGGTCTCGAGTTCGAGACCGGGTAAAGTAATACTGGGTTTTTCAAAAAATTCGCAGAGTCTGGAATTGTACCCGGTATATGGCAATAGGCTCACCCCTGTTACATGGGACAAGTAACATAAATATTGAAAAGTGGGTGTTACATTGTACAGTGGCATTAAATGCCGTAATGTGCACCTCTGCCTACCTCTTCGGGGATAAAAGGCTCGATGTTATGTTATATTAACACGAAACATTTTTTCCAGCCCATCGTCTCACCACCGTCATCACATCAAACAATTATTATTGTTTCAAGTCTACTCGGAATCGTCATTTTGTCTATCGTGGGTGTTCTGATCTGGTTAAAGATAAAAAAATAACCCTCTTGCTTATACCTAAGTACAACCTACAATAAGTTAACTTAAGTACCTATGTTATTAAATTAAATATCACTTAACTTAGGCCTTCTTTATCATAACTGATTTTTAAACCAATATTTTAATAACCATTTAACTATTTAGGTATTATTTAGATACACACATTTATAAAACGTAACATTATGTTCGACTGGTGTCAATAGTTTATATTGATCTATGTACCTACCTATATAAAAAAATACCTACACTGTTAGAGCGAGGCCACATTTGTCCATTGCGTTGCGTTGCTTCCATTTATTTTTTGCCATGCATGCCCTATTACACCGTTGCGAGATCGTGACGCAAGCAGCGCAGTGGACAAACGGGACCTCGCTCTTAGAGCAAAATTAATCCAAGTATCTACTTTGACTATGAACCACTTAACTCGGAACAACGAGTTGGTACCTAACTATATATATTTTTAAATAGAAATCGCCATTGTTACACTTAGGTTAAACAATTTAAGAAATCTCACTCCGTGCAAAAAAACGTTCTTGTTCTTGATAGGTACTCATCGGATTTCGAATCCTCACGCGACCTCATGATTGAGAAGTGAGTTACCTTTTGTATAGAAGTTTTACATGTAACAAATCAGTCTCGGGTATATTTTATAAAATTATTTGCTGTGTATTGTTAATAAAATTGATGATGTGAGAAATAAATGAATATTATTATAAAATTATACTACCTATACCATACCCACCTGGCACTGAGCAATCGTGACAAAAACAATAGATAATAATTATTATTTTTAGAAAAGTATTGGGTTAGTGATACATGAGTATTATCTTTATCGTTCTATTTCAATCAGCTGTCACTACAAGTACCTACAGTTTGAGTCTGTGAGTCTATCTCAAGGAGGAAATCATCTTTTTTACGAGTGTTTCCTTTGCAGTCTCCGAATCAGAAAGCTTATTAGACAAAAATTAAAATTATTTTTTTTTTATTGTAGGTACTATTAAAGTTAGGCAAATTTAAAAAAATAGACCCATGACAACTATCAGTCTCAAACTCTCAATCAGTGACAATGCGCCAAAAGCCAAGCATTCAGAGGGTAGAGTCCATTTCACGAAAGAAGTCCCGCAGACGCAGCGCTGTATTCGCGCGACATAATGTTGCCACGGTTAAATTTATATAGTATGGGGAAATCAGGAGAAATTGACATTAGTTTGATTAACTACGTACTCGAACAGTTCGAGGAATATTTTAAAAATAATGTCTTTTTATATAGGTATTTATGTTTATACTGCTAAGGTCAGATTAGTGAAAAATTAATCTTCCTGTAATTTCTAAAATATAAAATGGAAATAAAGATGTTCAACCAACATCAAATTAGAAACATAAAATAACATTTAAAAAGTTTTATTAAAGTTTTATTGAATAATTATGATCGGTCATACTATGATCACTGTCAGAAGAGTGAATAGAAACAGAATTAGATTCTGTTTCATTATCACTAGCCGTAGATATAATAAATCGATGCATTTCTTCATCCATAAGACCATCATTTTTTAAATATTCTTCCTCCAAATGCTGTACATGTTTGCATTGAACTGCCCAATCTTCCGCTGTAACAGTCTCGAACGCCTCTTCTGTTAGGCGTACAATTTCTTTTGGATCTTGGCCCACGTTTTTAACCGCTACCCGTCTGTTTATAACACACGACTCTCCGACACACCTGCAATAAAATGAACAATTAAAAAAAATCTAACAGTGACTTTTTCCGCATTTAATTATATTATTGTTGAATACAATTTTACAAATTTTTGTTGTGTTATGTTAATTCCTCATTAAAAAAACTTAAGTCTAATTGGTAAAAAATATGTTTAATATGGCAGCCCCAAAATTTACCTGTTATGGCGGCAACTCTTTTGCGAACATTGTCTAATGGTATTAAAACGCCGCGATTCTTCTGTTCCGCTTCACAGAACTCTTTCAATTTTAATATCATTTCTCGACCTGCACTTTTTACAACTTTTGGCATCGTAAATAAACCTTATAATGCACTAATTTAATAATAAACTCACAAAATATCTACCACAACAAACCCACCTTGACAACATCGACAAACGACAACATGGCCGAACTCCCCATTTGTCAAATTTAGTTCCACAATTGTCCGCGGGACTTCTTTCGTGAAATGGACTCTATGCATGCATTTGGTCTGATTGGCCGACTCCAATGAAAAGCCGAACGCAGTTTCGTTTGTTTGATTACCGTCAAACGTCAAATCCTCATGTAATCCATAGACAATAAAGTTATACACATACTATACAATTTAAAGACAATAAGTTTATTGAATGCAACATCCTTGATTGAACGTTATTTGTTTGACTAAGGACGTTCGAAGTAGTTATTATCATTTGATGTAAATGTCGATTTCTGCCGCTTATTTTTCCCAGTCCAATGTATTTTTAAATGCTACACTCTGTGGCGCCTTGATTAAATTCTGCGATGTCAAAATGTCTTAATAGACGATTGTCTATAGCTTTTTCCTCAATAGAAAAAATTGGTGTATAGTCTATGACATTCGTCGAAGAAAAGTTGTGCCGTGTAGACGTGTGGTGTGGTGTAAAGTTATTTTTAATTAGTGAGTGTTCTGTTGTAAAATATTAAAAGTGAGAAGATAATTATTGACCGTTTCTAAAATGGCTTGGATTTATCTTATCCTCAGTGTTATCATAAGTAAGTACACCATTCTATGGAATATGTTTAATTCATCCGGTTTTATCGTCTCTAATTAGTTAGATTATAAAAATTATTCGCTCTTTTTTTATTTAGGTAGTAGGTACAGTGTTTGTTTTATTCAGGTCACCACAAACTACTCGTATTATAACGGGCTATTCAAATAAAGAATGTAATTTAAAACAAAAGAATCGATTGATTTTTATCATAAATTCCCTTGTCATAGTTACTCGAGGTACATAGTCAATACTTTGATTCTAATTACCATTTGTTAAGTTAATGAGATTTTATGTTGAAATAGAAACTCGTTTGTACTATCGTAATAAATGTCATTAAATATAAAGATGACGATAATTATATTTTCCCGCGTGAATTAATTGCATTCGACTTCTATTAAGAATTTAAGTAAATATAAACATATAACATGAAGTATCATCGAACATCGGCATAATATCGATAAAAAGAATGAACAGTTAAATAATAAGTGGTTATTTAATGTTTAGGCACTGTCTACCTACTTATATTTTTTTTTACATAAAATTAGGGACATTTTATCTTACTACTCGAGAGTTGACTGTTGGAGAATAGTGTCAGCCCTCAATTAAGTCCGCCTGAAGGATACTCACTCCCACAAATCTTATTGTACAATGTAAATGAATAAACAAATGCATAAAAAATTGTCGCACATCCAATAGTCAAAGTCATTTATCAAACCAATCAAAATTATATTGTTTAGTTACCTGGCAAAAACTATAATCAATGGAATTTACAGGTGTGGCCCATGCCCAAACGGATGCTGAAGAAATTCCCTTCGGAAGTCCCATCACATTACCACCAGAGCTTCAAGCCAAAATAAATGAAACCGATGTGGAAAAATATAAGACGCAGTACTTAGAACAGTTTAAGAAGAAATGTGAACAAAATGGCCATCCTGAGATATATGAGAAGGCACAAGTAAGTTACATTATAGACCTTATATCCAATGTTTATAGAATATTTTTGTATGAACAAATTTAGGGGATGATTTTCAACAATTTTCAATGGGTTAACCAGTAACCAATGCAGTGTCATCATTGAAAAATACATAAAAGCAATACAAGTGATAACACACAATGAGGTAGCCCTATGAGATCATTATTCTTATAGGAATACTGTCCCTAAGCCCGACATTTATACACTTATGTGTGAACAAAGCATATAAGGTTAAGACACTGATTTATTTAGACTATAAACATACTTATCAATCAATACATAGTATAAAACAAAGTCGCTTTCGCTGTATGTCCGTATGTATGCTTAGATCTTTAAAACTACGCAACGGATTTTGATGCGGTTTTTTTTAATAGATAGAGTGATTCTTAAGGAAGGTTTGTATGTATAATACATGCATATTGCACCCGTGCGAAGCCGGGGCGGGTCGCTAGT